TCAAGAAACTAAAATATAACTTACTGCCTACCCAACCAGTGCTTTTTGGCCATGGAGAAAGGATAACCACTGCAACATCAGGTCTTCCACTCACAAACCCTATAGTCAGTGAAGAATACCATAATGCAGTGATGGCGAACCTTTTAGAGACTGAGTGCCCAAACTGCAACCCAAAACCCACTTATGCATCGTTGGGTGCCGGGTGGGTGTGGCCCATTGGCTGGGTGTGGCCAATTTGGTGGGTGTGGCCCATTGGGTGGGCGTGGCTGCGGTGGTAACGGCAGACTGGGTGGGACTAAAAAGTTCAATCAATCAATTCCAACCTTGCAAGATCTTTTTTTTCCTGCGAGAAGTTGAAATTGACTGATTGATTGAACCTTTTTTTTTTTTATACGGCGGCGGAAGCCTAAAGCGAAAAGGTTTTATAAAACCCAGCTGAAGGCCTAGGACTGGGGCGATGCCCCGCATGCCCACAGAGAGGGCTCTGAGTGCCGCCTCTGGCACCCATGCCATAGGTTCGCTACCACTGCCATAATGTATTGTTTCAAAAGTTGTTGAGAGATCAAAAAAAACCAGGATAGTTGCACCACTAACCCAGCTCTACCAAAAGTTATCAACAAATATAATCAATACTGTCTCTGTACTTTGCTCCAGTGTAAAACCTGACTGAAATGGTCCCAATAATCTATTTCTTTGAGGGCTCTCTGGAACATTACCAAAAGCGGAAGGCTGGAGACTGGAAGAAAATTGTTTTCCTCTCTTATAAATCTTGATACATTGTATTGTTTCAATACCCTAATGTTTACATGATACTGTTAGATATTATTAGCATTCTACTATTTAGATAGCTGAAAGTACTGAAAATAGAGACAGGAAAGAAAAAAATATCCGTATTTATTACAATATAGAATGTCAATATTACAACCATATTATTTGTTTTTTTCTTTCAAAGTTAATATAACATTAAAAAAGAACCACTGCAATTCACATCAAAATATTTGTAACACAACAATGGTTTTGGTCTTAAGTAATTAGTTAATATTAAAATCACCATTGTATTGTTATTAGAGAGAGAGAGAGAGAGACAGACAGACAGACAGACAGACAGACAGACACAGGGGGAAATGTAGCTTAAGCACATTTAACAAAAGTTAAAATATCTAAAAAGTAGAAAAAATAAAAAATAATAAAAAGTACTACTGTATTGTTTTTGATCTCCATTACTTTTATCCATTTACTAATCTGTAATATTTGTAGACATTCAGGATCCATTAAAACCAGACTATAAGTAGTTATATTTACCATACTGCATTATGTGTTGCATTATGTGATGGAAATGTAGAATAGAATTGCCTTGAACCACGAGATGGACAACAAATTAGAGGGGGGGGAGAGGGAGGGAGGGAGGGAGGGAGGGAGGGAAGGAAGGAAGGAAGGAAGGAAGGAAGGAAGGAAGGAAGGAAGGAAGGAAGGAAGGAAGGAAGGAAGGATGGATGGATGGATGGATGGATGGATGTTCAGGAGGGTTGGGTGCATTCCAAAAGAATAAGAGACAACTCAGTCCAGATATTTTGTGTGAGAGGCAGATAGAAGCATCCCTGTCTCAAGGAAGAATTTATTTTCACATGAATCCACACATTATCCGCTGGGAGGCTATGAAGAAGAGGATCTAATAAACAAGAGATCTAATAAACAAGTAGCTAGAGACTAACAGTTGTGAAGATTTATCCATTTCCCCAGAAATCACAGCATGAAATACTTCCCAGGCAACAAGACAGAGCCTCTGTCATCTCAACAATACCTCACCAGTTGGAGTCTAATTCAGAGCAAATGCAAGCAACTTTACCCACCAGATTCCTAGAGTAATCCCCACAGCAAGTGAGTCAGTTACCTATTCATACAGCAGGGAATGGATCACTTTAAATAAGGCTATCAACCAACAATAACAGCATAAAAAGAATTGTGTTTTGCAGCTCTTAATCCCTAAAATGGGCTCTTATACTTGGTTAGATTCACTTTTTGTCTTTTTCGAATGAAACTCTAGGTATCTTTTAGCTGTTTTATCTCTCAAAATTCCTTGAGAAACCAGGGAGCCCTATAAGATTGGCAGAGAGAAACTACATAAAAGCATCCAATCTAAAATCCTTACCACACAACCATTCCATGCAGAGATCATTCCCCCAGAACTTTGATTGGCATATACAATTCTGGCCTTTAGGAAGGGCCTGAAAACCTGGTTTGGCCATCTTGCCTGGAAATTCAGTAATGGTGGCGTGGAGCCTGCTAAATGGCTACTATATGTTGTAAGGAAGTTGGATTGTACTGTTACATATTTTACTAGTTTTAACATTTTTATTGTTCCTAATGGTCTTTGTTATATTATTTTGGTTATTTTTTTGCATTTTTGTTTTGTGTTTCAACTTAGTGAACCACCCAGCTTCACATATGTGAGATGGGCAGTTATATAAATCGAACAAATAAATAACTGTAATCCCATTTCAATTCAGTTCTATCAATTCATAATATTGGACAAGTTATTTGTTTTTTAGTACTTACAATTTGCCTTTCTGTGAAATGAATATAAATAGGGACAGAAAATTGTAGATTCAAAAAACTAGGCCTTATTTTAGTAGAAGACCGCTTCTACACACTGCAGATGCATATGATACAACATACTTTTAGGAGACCCTATTCTGAACCTCTGAAAAATGCTTTTGTGCATACAGTAAATGAAAATGCAGAAGAAAAGTGAATTGAACAAACTTTCAATACAGTCCAGTTTTTCTTTTTCTAATAAACCAGAGCTAAAATCAATGGGCATTTGTAGTATCAGAAATATTTTTTTACTTGTCAACAGGGTAATTAGAGGTTAGGCGCATACACATTCAATAAACAAAGAAATGAAATTACATGCATAACATATATTTATTTAAAGCTATTCTTGATTTGCACCTGCTCCATAAATGAAGAGATAGATAATAAATGAATCTTCTTCTGAACTACAATTTCCTGTTTACAATGGAAAACAGATAACATAGAAAAATAAAATTAACATGAACACAGAAATAATTAAACTATATTAGCAATATAGAATACATGAACATCATTTACTTTCCACAACATATACATGCACAATGTTTCTGGAACATATGAAGGTTTCACTGAACGTTATTCATGAATTCTGTCAAATGGTAGAAATCTGAGGAAGTCAGCAATAGAGCTATTCTTATGTATTCGAACACAATGTGTACTACAGTTTTCTTTTGTTTAGACCCATCTAATAATAACAGTGGAGACCTTGTTTCATGAATTGTTCAATATCTAGTTACAGTCCCAGAGAACAGAAAGGCATTCCTATCATATTTGCATAGAGAAAGAAGATACTTCCTGTGCTGAAAATCCCTCAGAAACAGACACTATAAAATTATATATAACAGTTATTTAAATACATTTTGATGTAGAGGACTGGAGCGTTCCTTGAATTACCCTATATATTCAAAATGGACAAAAAACTAATGGACAAAAAACTACACAATTGCAGTTTGAAAATTCAAAACAATTGTTGCTATCAAAGAAATCGAGGCAGATATGTCCAAAAGCTATCCAGCAACTGCATTTATCCATATATCTTGGATAATCCATAATTTATCATTTACTTTCTGCAAATAATCCATTCTTCATTTCTGTTCCTTAGTGACTAAGAAAATGATTAATATTAATCCTAAATACAAGTTAAAAACAATGTCCAGGCTTCCAGTCTCATGATATCATTCCTAGTAACCATTAACATACCACATTCTTCTCAAAAGACAATTAAGTCTGCATGTAATTCAGATAATAGCTGAATTTAGAACTATATATAAATCAGTTACCTCACAGAAAACAGAAATGTCAGCTTTGCAGCCTAGTTATCAGTGAAATAGCAAAGGGCTTAACTGTTTCTTTGCAAGTCTATGGAGCCAGGATTTTGAAAAGTGGGTTGACTCTTCACTTTCAAATGTTCCACAAATTAATCAGACAAGGTACCCAATAATTTAGTTTGAGAATTAAAATGCTTGCTATCGCTCCAAAAATTAGAAGCATTTGTAGGTTCTGAACAGATCACCTTATCTGCCAATTGTCTGTCAAATGTTATATAAAAGTATGAAATTAGTTGACACTTCAGAACACCAACATATTCTGATGTTTATTTTAAAAAGCCCTCTGAAAACAAATCACATCTTACTGCTGCTTTCTAAGGGCCTTTTCCAGGAAGAGGTTACCATCCCTTTGCCACAATGAAAGAGACAAAACTTCTGAAAGAAAGAAAGGAAGAAAGGAAGGAAGGAAGGAAGGAAGGAAAGAAAGAAAGAAAGAAAGAAAGAAAGAAAGAAAGAAAGAAAGAAAGAAAGAAAGAAAGAAAGAAAGAAAGAAAGAAAGAAAGAAAGAAAGAAAAAATAAATCCTACAAAAAGTTACAAAGTTCAAAACATATTAAAATAATTTGGAAACTATCTTTTGTAATAATTTTGATAATTTTTTTGTGCTGTGGTTCTCATTTTAGTTTTTCAAATAATTATTCTGCTGGAACTGATTTCTATTATATAGTTATGATATATACTCCAGAAATGTCAAAAAGCAATTGTAGGGCTAGGAGCCCACCAGGAGTCCAAGCTCTGTGAACTTAATGTGAATTTAAAGAAATATCCTGGAAATAGGCTCAAAACCAAGTTTCTATTTTTATCCAGAAAGCCACCTGGATATAGCCATTTAGTCAGCAGTTCAATCTGAGAGAGGTATTGCTTTTTATGACAAATAACGCAGGCACTATCAAAGACTTTGGATCACCACCTGTTCTTCAAAATTTAAAATTATTTCCATTCTTTGCAACTTTCAATGATTTCCTAGAGAAGGTATCATTAAAATTTTCTACGAGAAAAGAATTTTTATTTTGACTGTTACCATTATTACAAATAGATTATTTATTTTATTTCAAATCAATATACTATCACAAAAGAGTACCTGCTACTTCCACAATCTGGTGCCTAGCAATGTCATAGTATGGATCGTCCCATCGCAGATGTGAGGCAGAATCCGGGGTGCTCTTGGTATCATCTGTACAGCACATATGCAAATAAACAGAGGAAGGAATATCACGCAAAGTCAAACTTACAAAATAAGGGCCCAGAAGTACAGAGAAATGTCTAGGTGCATTATCAGTAGGGTGGCTATATTCATTTCTCTCTAACCTTGCACCTTTATTCAGGTATGATGGAGTACAAATGGGATACATTTACTTGTTCATTTGGTATTTCAAAACAGACAAGTGCATGCACTAAGATAGTTTAAACATATTTATAAAAGCATCTGCTTTAACTATATAAGGACACCATTAATGGAACAAAATAATAGACTTAAAATCTTCTGCCACAAATCCCAAATTGAACAACTATAATCTACTGCATGGATAGCTATACTGTACAGGTATTTCTTTGCTATATGCAACCTATGACATTCCAGTTCTTATTTGCTGATGAATATCTGAGTTCTGCATTACAATTTATATTCAGGATACCAAGCAAACTCTTTTGCAACATCTTACAGAAATCTAAGATGAATGCTGCAGAACAGGGTTGTGCAACGTTTTGGATTAAAAGGCAAACAAGTGCTTCTGAGCATGCGAGCATCACTATCAGTCAATCTTTTCCTGGGATTGTACAACAGCTGTGGAGGACAGTTGGGGTCTCCCAGAGAAAGACATAGCTGGTTTAACAAGCTGCAGACAGGCAATATTTTCATATTATGGATTCTTTAAAACATGACAGCCACCTCTTGCCATTGTTTTATTAACAGAAACACTTACCAGACTTTGGGAAAACAGGGTCTTCATCTGATGGCCAATTTTTGTCATCTAGAGAGGCCAACTTGAGCTGATTGAGAGACTCACTGGTATCTTCCAGACTCAGGTCCTCTTGTAAATCTGGGTATTGCTCCATACTTCAAGTACTCAAAAGATTACTTGAAAAGAAGCAGCAGAAATTCACAAATTAGCAAAGAAACATCTCACAATGTTCACTGGCATTTCCCAAAGTGTCCTCCTTTAAATGCCATTCTACATGTGACAGACATTTCATTCATATCTAACTTGAGAGGAGAGCACAGATAACAGTGTTTTGATTGCAGTTGCATGTCGTTTCATTGTCCCTCATAGGCTAATAATATATTTGCTTTCCCTTCAGAGCCTCATAACAAAGGCAATAGGAAAAGGCAAGGCAATAGGCCTGTCCAAATTATTTACTGAAGTACTTCTATTTAGTGTACAGGTCAAAACGGCAATATCACAATAAGGTCCCTAGGGCTAAGCCCTCTCTCCCATCTGTTTAATATCTATGTGAAACTATTGGTGGAGATTCTCCATTGGTTTGGGATTAGGTATCATCAATTTGCAAATGATATAAATATCTGTATAACTTTACATCTAATATCCAAACTAAATATATTTAATATCTAGTCCAGGCCAAGTAGAAGTAGAAATCTAAACTTGATGTCATTAGGCTGTGAGGGACTGAGTGTGTCGAAATAGACTAAGACTGAATCCTTATGAGACAAGAGTTACTGTTGGGACAGAAATCCTCTACTTCCTTTGATACTCATGCTGCTTCTAAAGAATCTGGTGTACACTTTGGAGGTTCTTCTGGCTTCACAACTTCTGCTGGAACAGGAACCAGGAATGGTCAGGCTTCAGTTGTGCTCCTTCTTCTACTAGGAAGCATTTTGTCACCTCTCGTGTAGTTACTCACCCAGATTGCTGTAATTCATTTTACATGAGGTGTACTTGAACATAATTTGAAAACTGCAACTGACACAGAATGCTCAGCCCAACCAGTTCAACAGAATAACATCTGTTTGTGAGATCAGCACTTGTTGCCAGTAAGTTTCCAAGTGTAATTACACATAAAGTTTGGGTCCTTGTTGCCTCCAGAATCATCTCCTGCCAGACCTATACCAGTTTTTGTGATATTTTGTGAATTCACTTTTCAAAATTACAATAGCGTTCCGCCCTCCACCCCCCGCGATCACTTGACCACTTTTGGGACACTTAGCAACCAGCCCACATTTATGGCTGTTTGCAAGGTCCTGCACTTATGTGACCATGATTTATGACACCAATTATGGACAATGGATTTGCTTAAAGACCGTTACATTTACTTAATGACTGGTGATTCACTTAACAACCACCACAAAAAAGTCAAAAGGAAAAAGTGACTATCCAAAGGGCACCCACCTGGCTTTGTGCCTATGGTAGAACTAGAACTCACGATCCCTGGTTTCTAGATTGATGACTTAACCATTACATCAAACTGGCTCTCATCCTTAAAATCAACTCAAGCAATATATCAACTCCAAAATAAAATATTTAAAAAATAGATCAAAGCAAGTCTATATCTAACATTAGAAATTAACATCACTTCCATAAAGACAGCAGCAAAAATATCTCCACATATTAAAGAATACCTCAGCATTCTGCCACAATTTCAATGAATCCTTGAGAACACTGAAGGGAATTTAGCTGCATATTTTACAGCTAATATAATATTAATATATCTTTATATCAAAATGCATACCTACATTACACTTACACTTCAGGTGACTATAAAGGTATTGTGCAGAAAGCCTAGCTTGACAAAATACAATATATTGGTAGGAAGTACAAATGCAGACTGGCAAATCTGCAAAGTTAACCTCAGCTGTGGTTTGTTCCTCTCTCAAAGATGGGAGGAGCTGCCAAAGGGACAAAGAGCAGGACATTTTACTCTTTTGAATGAATAGCTAATGCTAGAAACATGCTTAAATTGCAACCAACCATCTGTCTTTAGCAATATCCTCAGTTTCTATGGAAACCTTAACCACCAAACGAGGTGACTCATTCTCTTCAAAACAACTTCAGCAGCATATTCTCAAAATTATCTAAATTTATCCAATTAGGACAACATCCCTAGTATCAACATAAAAACAATCTCCTACTTGCTTATAGTAAGTGATTCCAATTTTCTCAGTAATACAACATAATCAGAGTACAGTACTTATTAATTTTATATTGGTATTTATATTCTATGTTTTCTCTGAAATATATACAGCATATGGTAGATATTCACCTAATGCCATCCCAAAATCTAAGTGATATAAGTATATGCAAGTAATATTTGATCTCTGGTAGTGTTTCAATATGTTGTTAAATCTTCATTGAAGAAATGACCCAAATACTAGAGGGAAACTAGTATTTATTTTCATATAAATCTCAAAAATATCTTCCACTGACATTCATATTTTGAGCAGAAAATCAGATTAATGCATAAATATAGGATTTTTCACAGTATTTGTAGTTTTTTAACTATATTTCTGTTCCATTTGAAGATGAACATAGTACAAATACATTAAAGTGTTTGATGTTCTTGGCCATATTATTCCTATTACTTCTTAGAAAACATCTAATCCATGCTTAAACAAAACACTTCCAATCTGCGATATTCAGCTTTGGACCCAAATATAATCTAATCTCTTAAAAGATGAGACATATCTAATTTGCTGTATTTTTTCTTCAAATATTAAAACTCCATTAGAGATTTCTTATTATTATTACAAGACAAACTACTGGTTGACATTAAAAAAATAAAATCTGAGGAACATGGGAAAACCTGAGGAAACTAAGAGTTAGAAGTTACCAAACTAGTTTCTGATTCTAAATATGCAAATCAAATATTTGACTTTTTCTCATAGCATCAAATCATGGGTGGCTGTGTTACCTAAATAGCATCTGTAAAGCATCAATTGTTTGATTCTTTACTAAAATGTATTGTTTAACTTATGCTTTGCTGAAACAACCTACAACATCTTGCAGATTACTAAACATTTAAACATCACCTAGAGCATATATCTTTATAGTAGAGATATTTGCCACTTGTAATGTGGACATAGAAAGATAGGAGATAGTCCAAATGGCTTAACATTAGTTACATCTATTCTATATAGGGAGTCTTTGAGTTACAATCCACGATCCTTGCTTAATAATGGCAGGTGGGAGTAGAATTTCCATGGCTAAGTATTTATTTATTATTTATTATTTGGTGGTAAAGTGCACCATCATTATTTATAATGTGGTGGTAAAGTGCACCATCATGTAATCACATCACATAGCAACAGCAGTCCTTGCATTCCCTCTTGCTATAATTGAGGAACATTAAGTCAGTCCCTCCTTGCAACTTCCTGCCAGCTTCCAACAATCAAAGTCAGTGGGGAAGCCAGCAGGAAGCTGCAAGTCCCAGGCAGCTTGCAAGCTGGCCAGCAGGCAGGTAACTGGCAGCTGCTGGATAGGAAGGAGCGTGCATGAGGATGCGCAAATGGTTGGGAAGGCACAGCACAAGTGCAACCAGGTTCAAGAAGAGAGGACATGTGGGAGAATGACAGAATAACAGACTTGGAAGGGATCTTGGAGGGCTTCTAGTCCAACCCCCTGGAGAGACTTACTCAAGCAACCTGCGACCTTCCTTGCTGGCTTCCCTGTTGACATTGCTTCTCGGAAGCCAGGAGGAAAGATTGCAAATCACAATCACGTGACTGCAGGATGCTGCAGGTAAGTGTGAGCTGATTGGCAAGTGATGAGATCGTGATCATGTGACTAAGGGACTGCTGGGACAGTTGGGACTTCAAGGACAAGTTATAACCACTACTCGTTCTGCGCTGTCATAGCTTCAAATGGTCATCGAATGAGTGGTTGTTAATTGAGGACCCTCGTCTGGTATTCCAGAAAACGTTACCTTTTTTTAAAGATATATTTAAAAGAGGACTATAAGAAAATGCAAGGTTATAATTAACTGAAAGGAAAAGGTAATTAATTTTAGATATGCACTGTCCCAAACTTCCTCTATTTTTTTCCAAAAGTTTCCAAAGAAATGATTATATAAAGTCACTAAAACATGATTTTAATACTTCAAAATCATTCTGTTTATACACTGAGACAAAAAATAATACACGCACAATACATAATTTGTTCTAAGGTTGGCAAAGAAAAATAATAGAACAATTAAAAAAAGAAACCAGCCATGAAACATCAAAAGCAACTGTACTTGATCATTTAGCAAAACAGGTAAAAGTGTTACTCTTGCCTTTCCTTTTCATTTTTATGTAGGCCCTTAACGAATCTTAGAGCAGTATTTCTCAACCTTAGCAACTTTCAGATATGTGGACTTCAACTCCCAAAATTCTTGGAGTTGAAGTCCCCATATTTTAAAGTTGTTAAGACTGAGAAACAATGTCTAAGAAATCTATATCCATACATGTACTTTAATGTACTTTTATACATTAAGCATGTACTGTATATGTGTGAATGGGAGCTCAAGAAATTATACCTGAATTGCTGGTGCTCATGAATTCATTTCTGTCTTTAGCTTATTTCCTGTATTCAATAAGCCTAACAAAGGAATAAAATTAAGTTATATACTTTTGTTTGCAACTCCAGCATTACTATTATAATAAAATCCACTGAAATCTTGCAGCAATAGTTGAGGTACTAAATAAAAATAGGCATTTAGCTTGCTCAACCAATGGTACAGTACAGTTCAAGAAAAAAAAGGAAAGTTGACCCAGGATGATCCCCATACTTCACGGCTTTCAGTTTAAATCAAAAAGATCCACTGACTGTATGACACAATCTGCTGAATCACATTATAGTTTGAAAAATACCACACTTTTCTGCTAGAACATAACTTCTTCTGAGCTTGTTGAACAATTCTACTGGCTCAGCCTATTTGATTCTGGTGATACTACAGCAAATTCAACAACTGGGGGGAAAAAAACCACATTAGTAACTTCATGCCTACCACTACTCCTAAATCATTCCTGGCCTTCCATTTTTTTTACAGCAAATCCAATACACCTGAAAGAATTTCAGCCACAGCACACCTACATTGCCATAAAAATGAATATCCAGCATAAAAATCTTCAGACATCTGGTAGAATACTCACTTAAAAGGAACCCTCCTTCAAAATTTCCAAACAAATTCTGCTATACTATAAAATACTGCATTCTACACAGTTGTGTTTGTTACTGAATCTCTGCCCAACCTCATCCACCTATAGACCACTTCTTTAAGACATCCATCTATACATCACACAATTTCCACTTTCTGTTAGAAGAACCTTGCAATTAATTACCCAGATCAAAGTGGGATAAAGTTTTCACTATTCGCACATCGACCTGATCAGTACAAACTAAGATTAAGGCAATGCATATGGGTCAGAGTGACTTGATTGAAACCCTCTAGTTTGCATAAACAAGCTAGTTTTAGCAATTTCTCCCTCCCTTAACAATGTTTTCTCTCACTTAAAATCATGCTCTTTCTAAACAGTCCATATAACACAAATCTGTTCACCGCCCTGAGTCCCGTAGGGGAGATAGGGCGGTATATAAATTTAAATTATATATAATTATATAATTATATATATATATATATATATATATATATATATATATATATATATATATATATATATATATATATATATATATATATATATATATATATATATATATATATATATATATATATATATATATATATATATATATATAAATAAATCTACAATTCAGATCACACATTACAGCCACGTTTAGCTTTGCAATGCATCATGTGTCAATCCGGGTTTGATGGTTGCACTAATCACGGTTTACGGCCTAAAACAATGCCAAATTCAGCCAGTTGTGGTTTATATAACGAAAAACACGGGGAAGCAAATGACGGTTGTGCTTGCTAAGAAGATCTCAATTCTGCAATAACAGAAACAGGATGCTCCTTTGGAAACAATACTCGGCTTTGTAAAAAAAAAAAGTAAGTTAGCAGAAGGAAGTTGATGGAAGAAATGTTTCCACCTGTACCTTTCAGCGAAAGCCTTGCAGAAGGCTGAGCAACGCTTCTGAATAAAACAAGGTGTGCTAAAAAAAAAAAGGAAAGGAGTTGCCCAAAGCGGAGTTCAGGGGACGTCTGCACCTGACCGAAGCGACAAGGTGGGAAAATAAAAGCAGGAGTTCAATGCAGCGGCTCTCTGTGCCTTGGACTTTGGCCAAGGAGCTCCGAAACCTGCGCCCTCCGCCCGAACAAGACTCTTGTCCCGACGAAGCAAGAAATATTCCCGCCTCTCCCCGCAATTCAACCCTCACAACCCCCCTTTACCTCGAAACGGGGGGAGCGCGCTCGAACCCGCGAAATCTCTCATGTAGGGGAAAAAAAAAAAAAAAAGCTCTCCACTTCCGACTCTGACCATGCGCGTTCGGAGCGCTCTGCTCGCTCGCCAACAGCCGCTCCCCGCCTGTCAAAACCCCTTCGCAAACATCCGACTACGGACCGGAAAGCGAACCCGTTCCCATGGAAACGCCTTGCCTCCCGCGCTCAGCGTCAGGCGTTGTGAAAAGGAATATTCGCCCGGGTGCAACCGAGGCTGGTGGAGGGGACCGTTCCGCTTCCTAACAGGGTACGAGAGTCGTCATGCGAGGGAAAGAGGCGGAGGGCCTTTTTGTGGCTTGCGTGGGGCAGGGGTAGTCAACCTTGGCTCTTTTAGGACTCGTGGACTTCAACTCCCAGAATTCCTGAGCCAGCTAAGCTGGCTCAGGAATTCTGGGAGTTGAAGTCCACGAGTCCTAAAAGAGCCAAGGTTGACTACCGCTGGTGTGGGGGGATGTAGCGTCCTGCGCTTGCGCCGACCGTCCTTTTATTGCAGGTCGCACTCTGGATATATGTACGGCGGTTGCCCCTTCTGCCCAGCGTGGCATCTTCCTCGGGGACTGGCCGTGGGACCTTCGTTGTCCTCGGAGAAGGGCCTGGGAGTATGGTGCGTGGGACGCGCTCTGCAGCCGGGAATGTCGCTGCTTCTTGGGCCGCGGGTCGAAGAACACAAGGCGGCCACTTCCTTGTCGGTGAGCTTCAGACACGGGGCAAGAGAGACCGGTGGAAATAGGCGTGAAGTCGGTAGGGGTGCTCTCGTCCCTCTCCCTGCTGACCGACCTGGTGGAAATCCGGTCTAGACGCCTGAATCTGGAGGCCCAGTTTGGTGTACTGCTGAAGGTGCTGGCCTAGAAACCAAGATACTGGCAATTCCTGGCTCCCGTTAGGCATGAAAGCCGGCTGGATGACATAATAATAATTAATAATAATGACAAATGCATATAAAATCAAAATTGAGAAGACAGTAACAGACAGTAAGTGCCGCCTATGCAAAGATGCTGAAGAAACAGTGGACCACCTGGTAAGCTGCTGCAAGAAGATGGCACAGACTGACTATAAGCAGCGGCATGACAAAGTAGCAACAATGGTGCATTGGAAGATCTGCAAGAAATATCATTTGCCTGTAAGCAAGAACTGGTGGGATCATAAAATAGAGAAAGTCATAGAAAATGATAAAGTTAAACTGCTCTGGGACTTCAGAATTCAAACAGACAAGCACCTGCAACATAACACCCCAGACCTAACAATTGTTGATAAAAAAGACAAAAAAGTCTGGATAATGGACGTGGCAGTGCCTGGAGACAGCAGAATAGACGAGAAAGACCTGGAGAAGATAACAAAATACAAAGACCTACAAATAGAAATAGAAAGATTGTGACAAAGGCAAGCAAGGGTAGTACCAATAGTAATAGGTGCCTTGGGTGCAATCCCAAAACAACTGGAGCGCCACTTGAACACCATTGGCATTGACAAATTCGCCATTAGTCAATTGCAAAAGGCGGCCTTACTAGGAACCGCTTCCATCCTGCGACGATATCTGTAATAACATCCACATGTGCCTATCCCAGGTCCTTGGTAAGGACTTGACAGGTAGACAAAATGCCAAATCCAGTCTGAACGTCTGACTGACTGCGATAATCCATAATAATAATAATAATAATAATAATAGCAAAAGGCAGCCTTACTAGGAACAGCTTCCATCCTGCAACGATATCTGTAATACCACCAATTCAAACATCCACATCTGCCTATCCCAGCTCCTTGGTAAGGACTCGATAGGTAGACAAAAATGCCAAATCCAGTCTGAACATCTGGCTGTGCGATGATTAATAGTAATAATAATAGAGTTGGAAGGGACCTTGAAGGTCATCTAGTCCAACCCCCTGCTTAGGCAGGAAACCCTATACCATTTCAGATAAAATGATGCAGCTTGTCATATCAATGGATATGTGCTCTCCCAACTATCCTAGTTTAAATTTGTAGGTATGGAAAACTTCATCTATTGTAATTTTATTTGAGCAAATGTTGGCTTGAATATATATATTTATATCTGGAATATAAATCCTTCCTTTCCCTACCATTGAGCCAGAACTGAAGAAGTTTCTTGGATGAGAAGTGAAATGTTTTCAGGGAAAAAACAAAGTCCAGTTGCCTTTTGAAAAGCACCTTTGGGATAAGTTGTAGCTTAGATTACTTTTGAAGGTTAGACAAATTAGAAAGCCCAAATAACTAGTAGTCGTGATAGCTACATACTGTCTATAGTTCAGAGATAAGGGCTATTGTTAGGGTGGAACCTCAAAACATTGCCATTGACCTCATGTTCTATCTGCAACACTCCAGAAGAAAGACTTAAGATACAGGAGGATCTGGACAGACTTGAACACTGGGCACTATCTAACAAAATGGAATTCAATGGTGAAAAAAGTAAGGTTCTACATTTAGGCAAGAAAAACCAAATGTACAGGTATAGTATAGGTGGTACCTTGCTCAATAGTAGTAACTGTGAGAGGGATCTCGGAGTCCTAGTGGACAATCACTTAAATACGAGCCAGCAGTGTGCTGCAGCTGCCAAAAAAGCCAACACAGTGCTGGGCTGCATTAACAAGACAGATAGAATCAAAATCACGTGAAGTATTAATACCACTTTACAATGCCTTGGTAAGGCCACACTTGGAATACTGCATCCAGTTTTAGTCGCCACGATGTAAAAATGATGTTGAGACTCTAGACAGAGTACAGAGAAGAGCAACAAAGATGATTAGGGGACTGGAGGCTAAAACATAAGGAATGGTTGCTGGAATTGGGTATGTCTAGTTTAACGAAGAGAAGGACGAGGGGGGACATGATAGCAGTGTTCCAATATCTCAGGGGCTGCCACAAAGAAGAGGGAGTCAAGCTATTCTCCAAAGCACCTGAAGGCAGGACAAGAAGCAACAGAAGGAAACTAATCAAGGAGAGAAGCAACCTAGAACTAAGGAGAAACTTCCTGACAGTTAGAACAATTAAACAGTGGAACAACCTGCCTCCAGAAGCGGTGAATGCTCCAACACTGGAAGTTTTTAAGAAGAGACTGGACAGCCATTTGAAATGGTATAGGGTTTTCTGCCTGAGCAGGGAGTTGGACTAGATGACCTCCAGGGTCCCTTCCAACTTCTTCTTCTTCTTCTTCTTCTTCTTCTTCTTCTTCTTCTTCTTCTTCTTCTTCTTCTTCTTCTTCTTCTTCTTCTTCTTCTTCTTATTATTATTATTATTATTATTATTATTATTATTATTATTATTATTATTATTATTATTATTATTATTATTATTATTATCTAGCACAGAATATGTATACATTATGAATACATGTTCCACTTTATAACTATTCAAGACGAATCATATTTTGTTTTAATTTACCCACCTTTTATTTAAAGTATGTTACAATAAATGTCTTGCCTTAAATAATTTGCTTGGCGGTATCATCTAAACAAAGTTTTGGCATTCCAGATTGTCAGTCAGCATTAACTATATAATTTTCTATGGATAACTTAATAAGGTTTATGGAAACAACAGATTTCCTGGATTAACAATGCAGTAATGCTCTCAATTGTAAGCTAGTTATAAAAGCTGGGTATCCAAAATACATTAAGCTAAAAGGTTGCTGACATTGCTGAAAAATACACACTTAACGTTTAGTTCAATTTCCTACAGTTAAATGAAATATTAGTTGTTGGTGAACTTACACACTACATGAAAGTACAGTATAATATTTTTTAGATTTGATTTATAAGTAGGCAGCCATGCCATAGAAAACAATAAGTTCATCAAGTCTGAAAAATTCTGCTAAATATGGTTTGAATTGCAATAGTTTATTCCCTAATCAGTAATCATTATGAAGGCCAGACTATGGCAAATTATAAACTATGATATGAGAGGTTAGTTATGTGAACACAACTGTGGTGATTTATAAACCACAGTTTAAAGCTCAGGATTAATTGTAAACCTAACCATTATGATTGTTCAACAAACCATGACTAAAACATGTGATCACCATTTGCAAGCTGACCTGCTGGCTTAGGATAAGCAAAGTCTATGGGGGAAGCCAGATTCACTTAACAATTGAATGATTCACTTAACAATTTCAGTGATTCACTTAACAACTGTGGCAAAAAAGGCTGCAAAATTGGGTGCAACTCACTTTACAACTACCTTGCTTGGCAGTGGAAATTGTTGTAAGTCAAGGACTAGCTGTACTTCCTTTTTTCTAAAGAGTTCTAATAGCTTGAGATAGAGTAGGTGGTACTCTCGGTTTGGGTTCATGGCTGTAAGAATAAAGCCTGTTTGCATAAATCTGCATTCTTCAAGTTTATTTTCTTTTATTTATTTGTTAAATTTATTTGCCGCCTTTCTTGTTGTGGGGCTGCTCTAAGCGACTTTAATATGTTTAGTATGTTAGGTTAATTGTGTGAATTGATCTATGGGTCAAAGAAACAGCCCCAAATATGCTCTCTATTACAGGCATGTCCATTACCCAACTGGAAAGAGACATCTGCTTGCAATGGGATATCCAACTGGAGGAGGTGAGGAAAAAAAGCATATGGATAATTTAAAATTTTCTCAGAAATGTTCATCTATGGCAGCAGTGGACAATTAATTTTCACAAGGGGCCGCATGAAAAACTGGGACTGTTGTGGGGGGCAGCTGCCCCCCCCCCGCCCCTTGATATCGGTGCCCCTTCCCACACCAACACCAATGCTGCAGGCCAGACAATGACAGCCCACAGGCTGGATGTGCCCTGCAGGCCATAAAATGCCCAGGTCAGATCTACAGTAATGTAATAGATTGTTGACTATAACAATATACTGTATAATAGTGAACATCTAAAGATTAATTCTTGTAATTTGTTTTTTAATTTATTTTTAAGATGACGTTATTTATTTTATAAGCAAGTTGAAAACAATTCTACTACAAATTCTTTTCATGTCCGCTCCCACAGAGAGGGCCTCCTTAGGGTGCCGTTGGCCAGTCAATGCCGGCTGGCGACCCCCAGGGGGAGAGCCTTCTCTGTGGCAGCTCCTGCCCTCTGGAATGACCTACCCCCCGACCTACGTACAACTACGGACCTGCGCCTCTTCCGCCGAGCCTTGAAAACCCATCTATTCCATGCGGCCGGCCTGGCGT